CTTCACATGGTGTATGGTTGAAGAGTTTTATATCTGGGCTTAGAGTTGTGGAATCAATTTCTAGGCCACTTGTATTGTGATAACTCTACTGCTGTTTTTATGGCTAAGAATAATAAAAGTGGAAGTCGAAGTAAACACATTGATATTAAATATCTAGCCATAAGAGAACGTGTTATAGAAAAGAAAGTGGTCATTGAGCAGATGATTGCTGATCCTTTAACTAAAGGCATGCCACCAAAGAATTTTAAGGATCATGTAACGCGAATGAGACTTGGTTCCATGATATGACAATCATTGTAAGTACTTTCATTTTGATAAAACTCTTATTCAGTTTAATGTTTTATCAATTATTTGTGCACATAATTAGTTAATTTGAGAAAACTCATTTAATTGTGACCTAGAATAGACATATGGTTTATTCATTAGAGTTAAGAGCTTGTGGTGTGAGACTAAATACATCGTAAGACATGGGAGATAATACTCATTATTAGAGGATCTGTCACCATGATTCATATATTTGGTCTCTTATTACGTTTGATGGTTGAATAAAATGGACCAAGTGGGAGAATGTTAGCCTTATACAGAAAAGAGGTTACATTTTAAGAATCTATCATATCCCATTTTTTTTATTTCCTTTTCAGTTAATATTTTAAAAGCAGATAATATTCTGAAAGTGGTCCATTTTAAATAGAAACCGTTTTCAAATGTGTGGGTGTGCCATGATTCCTGCAACAATCTCTTCTAACGTTATAAAAATACTCTGTGATGGTTTTTGGAGCACTACAGAAAATTTCATATCAGGTCATTGAGCCTACTCTTTATTTCATATACATCACCATCGTGTTTTAAGAGCAAGTGTTCAGAAATCAGAATTTAAGCAAGCATACAACAATAGCTGGAGGTTGGTCTTTCTGCTTCCGTTTTCTTTCTTATAAATCTGAATATGATTAAATATGTTTGTTTGAGATATTTAGATTTATCGAATCTTTAGTATGAATTGTTTACGGCTGTTACAAGATGGATTCGTCAAGGAAGCACATTACGCAACATGGCTAACTATTATCGTGTTGGTAAAAAAGGCCAATGGAAAATGGTGGAACTATGTACTACACGGACCTTAACAATATATGTGTATGCTAAGGACGCCTATCCCTTACTCAACATTAACCGACTGGTAGATAAAGTAGTCAGTCAAAATCTACCACGTTTCTTAAACGTCCACTCAGGCTATAACCCAAATTCCAATCGCTGAAGGTAACAAGCTAAAGATCGCCTTCATAAAAAAAAATCAATTATTATTGTGAGTTCATACCTTTTGAACTAAAAAACGTTGGAACAACTTACGAAAGACTCATGGATAAGGTATTTAATCACTTTATCAACAAAAGTGTTGAAGTATACGTAAATGATATGAAGTCTTCCACCCCTGCTCAACATTCCCAAGATCTTGTCACATTTGCTCTTACATGCATTAACATGTTTGCAAACAGCAAATAATCGAAGAAAGGAAAAAATTAAAAAACTATTATTACTATCTGTGTAATATTCTTCATACATCAAATTAATTAAAAACAATATTTCACAATATGGAATCCTTTCTCCTTCTTTCTTTCATTGATCCTGTGATGAGTTTATGAAATGCAACATGCATTGGGATTTTCATCACTGAATAGCTGAGGGGGTGGTTCCATAACATAGAGTGGTTGGTAATAGTAGGAGTACATCATCTTCTTCATGCTTTCATCATCAACGTTAACCACCACTCCATTCTCATCACCAACCACTTCTTTCTTTGCCACTTCTTCTTCTTCAATACCTTTCTCTTCTTTACTCTCATTATTGCCATCATTTCCACCTTCTTCTTTCTTAGGTTCTTCTGCTGGTTTCTCCTCTTCTTTTTCTTCTATCTCTTCCTCATGTTTGACCTCTTCTGCTCCAGGGTTCTCTAATTCTTTCTTTTCTGCTAAGGGTTCAGGTTCTGGCTGGGGAACTATTTTGACCTGTTTTCTGGTGCGTCTATGGACATAGTCTACTAGCTTGTTTGCATCCATGGTCCCAGTCACAATGACCTTCCCTGTGCTAAGCTCTGCCACTGCTGTTTGAACTCCTACATTAATAACAAAAACATGTTTTCACATTTACATCATTAAAGGGATGATTTGGATTTTTTAGGCATTATATTGCATATACATGTTTATATATTTATGTATTGAACATCATTATATTTTACTTGTTCATCAAAAGCTGATAAAACAGCCCTTAGATGAATCGATGCCATTAATAGTTTTTAAATCATGATGCTTTTTTTGATGTTGTATTTGTTAAACCGTCCTGCATTCTAGTTTACAAGAGTGTTTTACATACTATTGCCTAAATTTTATTAGTTTATGAAATCATGAATGAAATTTGTTCGTTGAATTAAAAGAGAAACTAGATTGATTATTTAATTTTTAATAAATTTAAATAATAATAAAATATATAAATAAAGGTGCTGTTAGGAAAAAATTGGCTTTCACAAGATCTTCATTTCTTTCTAATTTTAGGTGCATTGGAATGAAGAAGAATACCAAGTATAGGTTTACAGTCAAAATGCTGACTTGTACTCTGGAAGATAAAAGCATTAATGGATGGACAATCAAAGTGCTGACTTTGTCTTCTTAATTTGTACCTTTTTTTTTTATCAAATTATATTTCTTTTATATTTTTGAAAATGACTTTATTTATTATTATTATTTATCTACATACGGGTATTCGAGGGACAAGATAAATATCAATATTAGTTCAACTGTTTCATTGAAAAAAAAAATCATAAAATAGTTCTGTCCTTTAATGAACGTGAAAAATCACTCATTTTTTTCTTACAGTCTATTTTTCTAAATACAATCTTTTATAAGTATATTACTCCAAATGAACGTGAAAGAATGATAATTGCAAATGATTGATGGAGTTTTTTGCTGTCATAATTGCAAAATTGTATGAGAAAATGACTAAATTTGTGTTTTATGCATGCTTTTGTTCAAAGTAATTCTTCAAAGTGATTACATTCTCCCCAAATGAAGTTAATCCAAATCAGTCTCTTTCAACTACAACCAGCAATTGGTGTTACCATCACATTAGATGAGAATAAGTGTTACCTCTCATTTTGAATATCTTCCGTTTGAGCTGCTCAGCACAGGCCTCACAATGCATGTTGATGTTAAGTTCCACAGTAACCGGTTCAATAGCCTGTAACAGGAAACAATTACCATTTATTAGTTAAACTTTGTAGATTTATGTTTAATATAATTTTCATTTCTTTGAAAAACAGGAAAAGGGAAGTCTTGGATACCAGAGAAGTAACAATTTCTGGTGTAGGTTCTACTTCTGGTTCTGGCAATGGAGACATAACTTGGACTTTTTTCTTTGTTTTTTTCGTAATTATGTTACATATTGCTTCAGGCTCCACTGTTCCCCTTATGGTAACTTGATTTTCAGCCATATCAATCACCACTGCTTCAACTCCTGTTCGAAGAAAATTACAAACGAATGAAAACGTGGCAGCCCATATGACGTCAAAATCAAACTGATAGATGACAGAATAGAACCTCGCATTTTCATAATATATTTTTTTATTTTCTTGGCGCATCCTATACAATGTAAGTCAATAAACAGCACAATTGGAGATGGTGGTTTAGACTCTTTCTTCTCCTCTGCAGCTTCCTACCAAAACCAAGATAAGTAAAACAAAATTTTCGAGCCCAGAAATATGTAAGAAAAACTAATATAAATGAGAAAGAAGAATGAGAAAAGTGAAGGCTCACTTGTTTTGCATCCTCACCCATTTGCTCTTTGAATCGAGATGAAAAATGAAGTTAGTGTTTTGATTTTGGGAGAAAAGGGGCTTAAAAATCAAGAGATGATGTTGGTTAAGAGGTATACAGAAGACAGTTACATAAAGAAAGAGTAGGAGTATCACACACTGAGTATGATAGGTAAGTGGTGGGTAAACAGTAAGTAGCATAAGCCAAACTATAGGATATTCCAGAGCACATGCAATATGTCACAATAAATGCACCATGAAACTCCTGGTTCAATACTTCTTTTGGAATTGTTTTCGAACTGTTGGAGGATGGTTATCATATTTATGCACAGGGAGAAGATTATGAGAGGGAGAGAGCAAAAAGTAGCCTTGAAAATGATAGCACTTGCCGACTAGTTCATTTTTCATGACCAGGTGGTGAAGTGTTGATTTCTGAGAGATGCATGGCACGTGTATATGACTGTAGGAGTACCTATTCTGCATTTCATACTATGTTATGTGTTTGATGACTGTTCTGAATTTTACCTATATTTGGTTTAGGCTCTATTTTGCTCAATTATTTACGATTTTTCGATGAAAGAGCATTTGCAAATGAAATAAGCGAGAAGGTGATCACATGCATATTGTGATTTCTTAAAATGAGTTGTAACATATAAGCATTCTCTTTCTTCAACATTAGTTCTTGAGCAACGCATTCCAACCCGATTTTCGTGACATATATATATAATTGGGATGTGAATGAAACGTGGGGATCTGATAAATCACTTGCATATTGCGTGCAAATTAAACACTAGTACAAGAAAGTTAGTCCCCACATGTATTGTTTCTTACCTTTTTCTAGTTTCAATGACAAAGCATAATTTTGTGTATCTTATCTTCATTTCATTGCACCCTCATCAGAAGATAGATTCATTTGGATTGTTAAATGCCTCTTTTTGGCTTTATGACCAATAATCCATCTTCCGCTATTAGATATATATATAAACAAAATCCATAATATATACCAAAACGTGATGAAGGAAAACTCTATCAAAAGTTACCTTAACCAGATCAGATGGATATGGGTGACTTGGTCGGGTGAAATTGTTTTTGAATCACATCAAAACAAAACAAGACCCTTTTGAAGGGAAACTTTAATTGAAAAGCTTTTGGTTTTATCACTGCTAAATTTTGGAACATATAGTGTCATTGCTTAATGATGTGTTCAAGTACCGAACATACATCCAATAGAAAAATTACTCTATTATTTTCATCTAAAAATTTAGCAAAATCATTTTTCATTGATAAAGACAAGTAAAAATTGTCTGGCCCTGGTTCATTCTCAAGGGATCACGCGCATCAATGAATTGTAGCCATCGGTTTTTCTACATATCATCATGTAAATTCTCCAATTTCTTGAATTTTCCTTTTATAATAAGCACCAGCCATAGAAATGTAGTCATCCGTTTTTTGACCAGTAAGCATATTCTGCAATATTCTTGAATTCCTTCTTGTTCATTTCAGGATATATGGTGAGAGAGCTACCTATCCCATAACATTTTCTTCTTCTCTTTAACATCAGAATTGTNTGTTCTGAATTTTACCTATATTTGGTTTAGGCTCTATTTTGCTCAATTATTTACGATTTTTCGATGAAAGAGCATTTGCAAATGAAATAAGCGAGAAGGTGATCACATGCATATTGTGATTTCTTAAAATGAGTTGTAACATATAAGCATTCTCTTTCTTCAACATTAGTTCTTGAGCAACGCATTCCAACCCGATTTTCGTGACATATATATATAATTGGGATATGAATGAAACGTGGGGATCTGATAAATCACTTGCATTTTGCGTGCAAATTAAACACTAGTACAAGAAAGTTAGTCCCCACATGTATTGTTTTTTACCTTTTTCTAGTTTCAATGACAAAGCATAATTTTGTGTATCTTATCTTCATTTCCTTGCACCCTCATCAGAAGATAGATTAATTTGGATTGTAAAATGCCTCTTTTTGGCTTTATGACCAATAATCCATCTTCCGCTATTAGATATATATATAAACAAAATCCATAATATATACCAAAACGTGATGAAGGAAAACTCTATCAAAAGTTACCTTAACCAGATCAGATGGATATGGGTGACTTGGTCGGGTGAAATTGTTTTTGAATCACATCAAAACAAAACAAGACCCTTTTGAAGGGAAACTTTAATTGAAAAGCTTTTGGTTTTATCACTGCTAAATTTTGGAACATATAGTGTCATTGCTTAATGATGTGTTCAAGTACCGAACATACATCCAATAGAAAAATTACTCTATTATTTTCATCTAAAAATTTAGCAAAATCATTTTTCATTGATAAAGACAAGTAAAAATTGTCTGGCCCTGGTTCATTCTCAAGGGATCACGCGCATCAATGAATTGTAGCCATCGGTTTTTCTACATATCATCATGTAAATTCTCCAATTTCTTGAATTTTCCTTTTATAATAAGCACCAGCCATAGAAATGTAGTCATCCGTTTTTTGACCAGTAAGCATATTCTGCAATATTCTTGAATTCCTTCTTGTTCATTTCAGGATATATGGTGAGAGAGCTACCTATCCCATAACATTTTCTTCTTCTCTTTAACATCAGAATTGTAATTTGAATTTCTTTTATGCATAGTTCAAAACTTCTAATGTTCTTCTATTATATTTATATCCCATAGCATGGTGTTTTGTGAAAAGACATAACTGTTTGATGAACATATACTTATAGATAAATGACTCAAATAACATGAAATTTTCTTTTGCAAGTTGCCCATCTCACTAAGGTTCGCATATATCATATAGATCATGAAAGCTAGTATACTATGTTCGTCTAAGACCATCTCTAACATTTAATTAATAAAAATTAACCAAGATCATTTAAACTTCACATAATAACAATTTAATCAATAATATTTTTCTTTATCATAATAGCTAAATATTTCGAAATCATCTCAATCTTAACAAAATACCTTTATTCCTAGTGTCTTACAAGTGTTGAGATAATCTCGGCCTATTGCCGAAATCTTGTTGGGCTTATAATAGCTTATATCATGTTGGTCTTGTCGTCACTTCGGTATGAACATAACATTTCTCACAAAATTAGAAGGTTTCCCATCATCTCATGTCAATGATAATAAAGATTAATATTATAAAGAGTTAGAATTCTCTTTTTATGTAGGATTCCTGGTATATGCGATTTAACCTTTTCCAGATGATGGGTTTTGATTGTACTGGTTAATGTCTAGGAGATTCTAACCGAAACATTTAATATCTATTAGTATCTATTTGATTAATTGTCTTTCTCAAGGTTTGCATTGTGATTTTCAAGGAAATCATTTTCTCACTTCTTAAATATGATTTGACTCTTATTATCGGGTGTGAAAGTGAAGAGACAATAACAATATACAAAGTATCAAGTCCATTAAACCAAAGGTAGAAAAAACGACTCGGATAAACTTGGTATTCTTAAACAGGTATATTATAGAAAGAGGCAAGGCGTGACTACCGATGATGGCAAGATGTGGACAGTGACACGAGTGTGATGACGGCTGACGGAAATCACGAGTGACTTAGAACAAAGCGTTGAGTGAATAGCAAGGAGACGAAGAAAGAAGATAAGCTTATATGGTGAGCCCAAAACCGAAATCCATTTACATTAAAAATAAATCTTTATGAATTCTAATCGGAAATAAGTTCGCGATTTCGATCAAGCTTACCAATTTTATCATCAAGGCTATCACTTTTACAGAAATCCGAGATTGCTTTTGATTTAACTCATAAGTACTAAATAAGCATGTAAACTCGTCTGAGTTAAACGAATTTGGTAAGCATGATTATAAAACTATAAACATTCCAAAATTTCAAGTGCGTTATAAAACATTATATATATTATAATAACCTCTTAATTATTACAAATTAGTAACTTAATTTATTACATTAAATAAATTATTATTCTAATAACTCTTTTAAATTAGTATTATTATATAATTTAAAGCATGGACATGGAATAATTTTTCTTTCTCTCGTTTTCTTATCTTATTATTTTTTTCCTTTTTTTTTCTTTCTTAAAAATATCTTGGATTTATTTTCTACTATTTTTCTTCTAGTTGCTTGTTAGTTTTGATATCCTCAAACTATTGGAAAATTCTTATTATATCGTGGGAGAATTTGCGTAACACATTACGGATAAGTCCTTAAAGATAATGATCAATCAACACGTCTCGAAAAATCTTTGTTTGTGTTTTTTGTCAAATTTTCTACAACAATATTAAAGATTTATGGCTGACAACAACTCAATACTGCGAAATCAGAACATTTTTTCGAAACTCAGACAATCTTTACGAAACTTTTTGTGAATGTATCAAAAATTGAAGTCTTCTCTGATTAGAATTTTCGGCTAGCAAAATTGTGTGTCAACCTTTTAGACATGTACAAAGTCGTATTTTCTCTTTCATCTCAAAGATTGGGTTCATGCAAATAAGGTATGCCAACATACTTTCCTTAGTGCACTCTCTAATGATTTGTTCGATGTGTACTGATCCTATAAGAAGGCGAAAGACATTTGAGATTTATTGATTCTCAAATACTCTACTAAAGATGTCATCAAACACAGGTTCATTATTGGGAATTACTATCACTGGGAAATGATTGAAGACAAGGACATAATGTCTCAAATAAATTAATACCATAAACTGCTCAAAGATATGAAAGCGGAGAACATTCTTCTACCAGATGAATTTATTACAAAACTTCTGATCGATGAATTGCCACCTTTAAGAAGAAAGTAAATTGTTTCATATGTGGAAAGTCGGGCCATCATGCACTACAATGTAGATGTAGGGCAAGAAACGACAATCCTCCTAGGGCAAATATAGTTGAAGGAGATGACATTATTGTTGTGATCGTTTCTCAATAAATCTGATGACCAATGTGAGCATGTGGGTGGTAGACTTTGGTGTTACCAAGCATATCTGTGCAAACAAAAGTGCCCTTACCTCTTACACTAATGTAGGGGATGAAGAAGAATATCTCTACCTCGATGATTCCAAGATCACTCTTGTTCTAGAAAAGAGAAAGTTCTTCTCAAGCTCACATCTGGAAAGACTCTGGCCTTTAGTGATGTGCTACATGTTCCATCAATCAAACTTAATTTAATCTTAGTAGCACTATTGGGAAAAGTAGGGGTTAAAGTGTCATTCAAGTCTGACAAGATTGTAAAGACAACATTTATAAGAATATTAATGAATCTTCTTCTTCTACTTATTGTTGATTCATATGATATGTGACATGCTAGAT